CATTCACAATTTAGACAGATATTTGAAAATACATCAGTGCTTCATCAAGATAATAAGTAAAAACTTACAATTCTGGAAGAATTATAAGAGAAATTATAAGAGAATTGCGGCCAAAAATAAGATTACTATGAGAATAGGAACAAAGTCCTTAAATGTTTGTAGCAGAAAAGTGCGATATATAAAATACTAAATTAAAATACTGCAATTAAAAAATCTTTTTAAAAATCACATAAGTTACTTCTTTTGCATAGCGGCGAAAATATTCTGTATTTAGGGTATTAACGGATATGCAACCTCTGAAGATGAAATTAAAAGTACTTGGGAAAATAAAAAAAATATTTGAAAGAAAATTTTGGAATGTTTCTTGATCAATTTTCTACAGCTACCAAGAAATTAATTGGTGGACTTGAAAGGATTGAAACTTAAATAAACAGATATAATACGTCTAAATTATTTAACCACACACACACACACACACACACACACACACACACTTATATATTAGGTTGGTGCAAAAATAATGACGTAATAATGTCGTTTTTGACGTTAAAATTCGTCAAAAACAGAAATTATTACGTCATTATTTACAATATATATGTGTGTGCGTGTATACATATATATAAAATATAAAATTATTGATGTATATATGAGTGCGTGTGCAAAATATTAAAAATATATGTAAATACATATTTGTGTGTGTTCAAAATACTAAAAATGTATATAGAATACACATATATGTGAGTGTAAAATTTAAATATGTATATTATATATGTGTATGTGTGTTTGTGTGTGTAAAATATATATAATGTGTGTGAGTATAAAATATAAAAATGTGTATAATATATGTGTGCGTGTGTATAAATTTAAAAATATGTATAATATATATAAATGTGTGTGCGTGTATTAAATAAAAAAATGTATATAATATATATATATGTGTGTGTGTATAACATATAAAAAATGTATATACTATATATGTGTGTGTGTGTGTATAAAATATAAAAATGAATATACTATATGTGTGTGTGTATAAAATATAAAATGTATATATATATATATATATATATATATATATATATATATATGACACACACATTTATGTATGTATGTATGTAAAATATTAAAATATATATGTGTGTGTGTGTGCGTGTGCCTGCGTTCACGCTATATCTTTTCTGCACACAAAAAGGCATGATCGTTCCGAGAAAGATTTAATGAAATCAGTTTTAGGCTAAATCATGTTTTTAGTCAGATACCCAGAGCTTTTTGGTAGCATAGTGTGTTTTATAACATAATGTGTTTGCCGATGTTAATTGTCTCATCTTAAATCTCAGTTGTCGCCACTGATACTGTTAGTAAACATTTACCTTTCTTTTTGTGGAAAAAGCTGACATTTTTATATTAAATATTTCAACAAAATAAAATAAAAAAATAATACAAAAATAAAAAAGACCAGTTTAATAACCCAGAAAGGTAAATTTCTTGTATTTTTAATATTAGTAAACAATATAGATAATAAAAAATGTAAATATAAAACCTTTCGCTTTCCAAAGGTTGTTCGAATGATTGCTTAAATAGAACCCCGCACAATATATTGCTTATTTATAGCTGTGCATTTTTTCTCTTAGTTCATGCTCACAGAAAACCTGAAATTGAACTATTGGAATGTCGCCTACTGGTTAACGGGACGGCGAATGGAATTCTGGGAGTTGAGTTCTAATTCTGGTAAAAGTTTCTCTTTATTTCGTATTAATGACACTTAAAAAGGCATAAATCCAGCGCTTTTTCTAGCCCCAAACCTTGTTATATGTATTATGACATGAAAATATGTTGGGGCCAGTAAGCCACTTCGTAAAAAACTACAGTTAAATGATCGGCTCAAAGTAAATTATCAGATCTATCTATATATCAATATCTATTTTAATATCTAGATATCTGTTTTCATATCTATCTACACATCTATCTTTATGTCTATCTCTCTATTTTCATATCTATCTTCATATCTATCTACATATCTATTTTCATATTATCTTCGTATCTACATATCTATCTGTTTTTATATATATCTTTATATCTTCATATCTATTTATCTATCTACATATCTATCTATCTATCTATTCTACCTCTCTACATTATCTATCTATCTACATATCTATCTATCTATTCTACCTCTCTACATTATCTATCTATCTATCTATATATATATATATCTCTAATCTATCATAAGCGGACTACCCATATAAATATCTTGGTACCGGAAGACTATCTATCCTGCCTCTCTCATTTATCTGTCATTATGCTACCTCTCTACATATCTATCTATCCTATTCTTTGTCTCAATCTATCTATCTATCCTACCTCTCTATCTATCTATCTATCTATCTATCTATCTATCTATCTATCTATCTATCTATCCTACCTATCTATCTATCTATCTATCACTAAATATATACATATATTTATAACCTATATAATGTGGAAAATATATTGTACTAAATAATGCTCCTAATTGTCATTATGTATCACGAACCTACGTGAGTCTGTAGATATTCATGTCTGTGAGTTTATGATCGACTTCAATAGAAAAGCGGATAATATGTTAAAAAAATCAATAAATCGATCAATATGAAAGGCTTCTGTAAAATGTGTAAGTGAAGGGACACAGGATAAAAAAGACAATGCATTAGAAAGAACGCCTAATAAAAAAAGTTACACTACAAATGGATGGTAAATCGAAAATAGGTCGGTAGTAAAAAGAAAAATCGACCTTCGATTAACCCCACTTAAAGACACTAAAGGAAAAAAGGTATATGTAAGACGAGATTTATATCTGAGCTGATATGTCCGATGACTCATGTTAGAAAAAAAAAATGATATTTAAAATTTATTGCGAAATCTGCAAAAAAAAAAAGGAAAGAAAAATAAGATTGAAGATAGAATTTCAGTTTACATTCTTCTTTTAAGTGTTGTGTCCTTTCAGAACGTGGGCAATCATGGCTCTCCACAACTTTCAATTCACTGTAGCTTTTAGCAATGCTATTTTTTTTACTATCATTTCCATTTCATGTTCTGTGATTCATTTACAACTAGGTAGGTAGGTCACTCGCTGTTTCCCTCTGTCCATCTTGCTTTCAATATGTCTTGCTAGTGTTAAATTCGCCAAACCTTCTTTCATCATTATGTTCCAAGGTTCAATTTTCTCTTTCTGATTCTAAATATAAGTGTCCTTTTTGGTTCTAGTTTCCTAAAAATATCTTCGTTGCTCACATGTTTCTTCCGAAGTATTCCCAACAACCTTCTGTAGAGCCACATCTGTTGTCTCAGTCAGTGAAGAAATTGTCTAGCATTCGCTGCCATTTGAAGAGGATCGATATTACGTAGCAGTTCAGCACTTTCCTTCTTTTTTTCTCAGGAATATTTGTCTGTTTCTTAATACTTGGTTTAGCATTTTTTTTCCCGTTCCAATGTGCCTTACGATTTTGGTGTCACATATTCAGTCATCTGTTATAACCTTGTCAAGAAAACTAAATTTGTGTATTTGCTTGATATTCACCTTCAGTTCGTAGCTGGCTTTTTGAACTATTCATAATGATCTTATTTTCTGTCTTATAGTTGTTTCTTTTCTCTTGCTTTTCTTTATTGTCTTGTCTCGGAGTACCTATACTTTTCTTTCTGGGCATCTTTCATTAACACACTGTCACTTGAGTATTTTACGTTCTTAAGTTTGTGTTCGTTAATAATAAGGTGGAACTAAGTTCTCTTAGGATCGCCTCACTGTACAATTTGAATAAATCTGGTCTCGCTGTATACTTTGAATAAGTATTTTCTATTTATGTCTGCGTGGTCAAATTTGGCGGGAACGTTCACACATGTTACAATCAGAAAAAAAAATCAAATAAAGAAAGTTTAGAAGATCCTTCAGAAAATTCGAATCGGACTTACATTGGGCCTTCTTCGGAAATATCGAGTGGATCACAACTGACTGTAGAAAGGACAGTGTACTTAATGAAGGTTTTATGATCTGTGATCAAATTTAAAGTTAAGCAAACTGGCCCGGGGGAAATTGTTACAGCAACAAATCCGGAGCCTAATGATAATTTTATATATATATATATATATATATATATATATATATATATATATATGATCTTAAGATATGCTATATTTATGGGATAAAGTGCTCAATATCAGAGATAGAGAGTGTGTAAATATAAAAGTGAACATAGAAGTCAACATTTCATGTCTGTTTCATGCTAGATGCAATCGTCAGGCCTGGAGTCCATCTGGGGGTGTCGAGATGGTCCTGGAGTCCACCTGAAGGGATGGTAGAGACATGGAGTTATCAGAGGTGACTGAATTTTCGAGGAGTTATATGAACAACTTTATATTCCATTAGTTTTCTGAGGTAACCGGGTAGTCCTGGGGTTATCAGAGGTTGATGGATAGTTCTGAAGTTCACAGTTTATTCTTAGAAATAGGGCAAGTCAGGCACAAGGTTATATTAATAAAGCAACAAGTGGTGGGAGGAAAGAACTTGACATTAATGATAAATGGGACGAGAAAACTAACCAGAGCATTATGTTTTTAATCAATTCACCCTAAGCAAGGCGATAATGCCACTAAGACGAAAATGGTTACTGGGAGTGAAAAAGAATAAGAAATGATTTTAGAATAGGAATTCTCAATCTTTTTTTTTTATCCATGGACCACTTTTACTCTTTTTTTTTCATGGGTGGACCCTCATAACAATTAGATGAAAAAAAAAAAAAAAAAAAAAAAAAACTTATTTCATTTTTTTTTTTACTAATACATAAGTTTAGGAATTGTAATATGCTTTATTTTGAAGTAAAACTAAATTTATGAAAATAAACTTGTATTTAACAACTAAATTCTATGGAACATTTGCGAACACGAGTAAAATAACACATAAACTATTTTAAAATATTTAAGTAATTAATAAATTAATGGTTTATTCAATGAGATCCCTGTGGGTGATGTTGCTGAAGTGTTTAATACTGTTAATCCTTCCTTTATATGTGATCCTTATATAATTTTTATATAATTTTCCTTTATAAACAAACACACACACATATATATATATCATTCCTTTATGTATCCTTCTCAGTTTTTAGTTAACTTTTACAATCAAAACATCCGGTAAAGTAAAAGGGATGCTATCTTACATCGCTTAATTACATTATCTGCTATTTTTAGAGTTACCTTTCTATCTTTGGTATTTTAATATGGCGTGGATTACTATAGAAATTCCAATTTTTAGTTCTAACAACCGTTCCGAAGTGAAATTGCTCTGTGGACATCTAAAATATTACCGTGCACTCCTAATTTACTATTTTTTGTGTGGAATTCCAGTACTGATACATGGATTTCCAGGTTCCATATCAATCCCGGTTAAGAACTACTGCTTTAGAAGGAACCAGAAACCCAAACTTAAACAGGAAAAAAAGGGACAAACCTCTACTCCTGTATATTGACTCTCAACTTATATATAATGAACCCTATTCTGTTAATGACGATTGCATTGATTTCTGACTGCCAGTAATACCTTTCTCCTTGAGATGCAATAAATTTACATAAATCAGCAGTAATGCATTTACATAAATAAATAATAGCGCTGTTCTAACAGTAACACATGCATTGATTTCTGATCGTTGACAATCCGGTTTTTACTAATTTAAAATGTACAACCTGAAGACTGAGGACATAAATTTGCCAAAAAGCATTTAAGCAAACAATTTCAAAATTCATGTTATAAAAAGGCATATTTATTCATTTGTTTAAAAAAAGAAGGAAATAAGCAGGGAAAAATAATTGCAATTACTATAAATGTCAAATTCGAAAGAAAAATCTCGATGGTTGACCGCTTGGGAATACCAGGAGCTGTAACCTTGGATGTGCGGATGGTGTAATGGGTAACGAATCGGAATTGAAAATCGGAGACTAGAGTTCCAGTTCCAATCGGATTTATTATAATCACCTACCGTAAATACCATTCCCCCAGCTATGGGTTTATTAGTAGGACTTGTATCAATGAATCATTATCATCTCTAAAAAATTCTTAGGATTTAAAAATGTTTTCTGGCTTTAAATAACCGCAAAAAGGTTGATAAGCTGTAAAAAAAGTCGCTTAACTCTCCCAGTTTTTTTGCCTCTTAAAAAAAGAAGAAAAAAAAACATTTGTTTTTATAGAATGGCTAAAATTCTAAACCTCCAAGAAAATCTTTTATTTCAAAATTATGAAAAGTTTCCTAACACCATAAATCTTTTGCATTTTAGTTTTTCAAATGAGAAAAATGCTGCAGGCTACAGGAAGTAACGGAAAAGTCGGTTGGTAGCGATAAAAACACAAACACCTCGCCGTGAAAACATACTGAATTCAAAGAAAGTCGGAGCTGAACTATAGTTGTTACTTCTGTTTTATTTTCTCCCTGCCACCAAAATTTGTCGAGTCACTACATATTCGGAATGGATCAATAAATCCGTAGATTAACATAGTTGTGAGCTGAATTTTGAGCTGTCATTTTCATTGTATAATTTACGGTTTATGTGATAAAAGGAGAAGTGTTTTAACAATAGTGTAAAACAAATATTTGATGTACAAAATAAATACTTCTTCAATAGGTTAGTGACTATTCACACACATAAGCACACATTTATACTACTAATAAATATACCTTTGTTCTTTACCTTTTGGTACAACACTGAGTTTCATTGCACGTGGCAATCGTCAGGCACACATGACGATTGGCATTTATGTGAAAACAGAAAGTTATAAAGTGAGGAACAAATGTATGTTTATTATGAGTAGAAATATTTTGCTCTGTTATTTTACATCGACTACTATTTTATTACAATCAGGTTCAATGTACATTCTCTCTCTATACATACATACATACATACATACATATATATATATATATATATATATATATATATATATATATATATATATATATATATATTCAATTGTATGGATATTAGTTTGTAAGCTAAGAGTGTCTGATGCACATGCACAAATACTCCGTTAAAATGAAATGCACCAGATACTGAGCTTATTCGGACTCCGTGAGCAAGTTCCTGGATTGTTACAAGACGGTCTTCCATGACTCTTCACTGAATCTTCTCAATCGGCTCCTCGTTTCAGCTTGTGGGTGGCCTGACTGTCTCTATCTCCCCTGAGGTACAGTCATGTTTGAAGCATTTGTAGCACTCCTTGATCTGAAAGTTGCCAAAAAATTGTTGAATCTTCAGGATGGTTTGAGCTTCACTATCATCAAGCTTTTGGCAATACTTGATGCAATATCTCTGACCGATGCTTTCGGTCATCTTTCGTGGAAACGAAAAACCGACGAAAGCGCACTCCACGTCTCTATTCTAAGCGTAACACCTAGGAATTGAATGCGGCCTACCGGTACAAAAGTTTTCACTCATGCGCAGGAAGGGTGGCGTCATCTCCTACCCAAATAATTTTTCCGACGTGAC